GAACTGCATGCCCAGCCCAAGGTAACCTCAGCTCTGTGGTGGGGGTGTCAGAATTTGCTTCACTGGCCACTGTCCCGTTACGTTTTTCTTTATATACTACATAGAAGTGAGACTATCCAGTGTTTGTCTTTGCCTTTCTGATTTATTCCTCTAAGCATGATTAAGAACCAACCAGATTGTATAAGTAGAGTATAAAAAAAATATTGGTAGAGGGGCTGGAGAGATAGTACTGTAGTTAAGGTAACTGCCTTGCACGTACCTAATCCAGGCTAACCCTGGCATTCCATTTGGTCCCCAGAGCACCAGCAGGAGTAAGCCCTAAATGCTGCTGAATACGACCATAAAAAAAAAAAAAAAAGCACTGTAGCACTGTCCTCCCATTGTTCATTGATTTGCTCGAGCGGACCCAGTAACATCTCCATTGTGAGGCTTGTTGTTACTGTATTTAGCATATCGAATACATCACGGGGAGCTTGCCAGGCTTTGCCTTGAGGGGGAGAGACTCTCGGCAGCTTGCTGGGCTCTCCAGGCGGCATATATTTATATATTTCTCTCTATGATTTATTGCCTACTGTCTGAACCCCATCAAATATGGTGTGGTAATTATGAAAAATGGGTAGGAAGTATCTTATGAGATGCAGTCCGAAAAGGAGCGTGGCGGTGGTTGGGTAGTGGAGGTCAGCTGCTGGAGCTGGGTCCCTTGGGACGGGGAGGGCTCTCACCCACCCCACTCTTGGGCGCCCCGAGTGAAAACAGACAGATACTATCTGTTATTAAGTCGTGCAACATAACTTGCATTTAGCTCTTTGCATCAGTGATTCTGTGTTCTTGAGACAGATGCTGGATCATACAGGAGTTTTATTCTTTATTTTTTGAGAAGTCTCCACACTGTTTTACATAGAGGCTGAACCGGCTTTACATTTCCAGCAAAAGCAGGCACTGTTCTTTTTCCCCACATCCCCATGAACACTTGTTTTCTGGCATTTTTCAATAGATGTCATTCTCTCTGGTGTGAAGTGACCTGATTATCGTTTGCATCTGCATGTCTCCAGTAGCAGTGATAGAGAGTGTTTTCACATGTGCCTATGGCCCTCTGGGGATCTTTCCTTCCGAGAGGCAGCTCCTCCGTATTTCCCTTCTATTTGATAAAGCTATTTACTGTAGCTGAGTTCTGTACATTCTTTCTATAGCTTGAATATTAGTGCTTTATCAGATGTATGACATGCAAATATTTTCTCCCATTCAATACAGTATCATTTTATTTTAGTAATAATTTCTCCCATCGTGCAGAATTTTTCAGTTTGATCCTACTCTGAGTTAATTTTGTGCATGGTGTGAGTTACAGGTCCACTTTAGTGGTACTTAGCCAGTTTTAGAATGGCAATCCCACTTTTTTGGGGGGTGGCTCTTATTTTTGGGTCACACCTGGCAGTGCTCTGGGCTTACTACTGACTCTGTACTTGAGGATTGCTCCTGGAGGTGTTCAGGGAATCATAGGAGGTGTCAGGGATAGAACCTGAGTTGGGCACCTGCAAGACGAGCACACCTATAGTATGGCACCCACCATAGTATGGGATAGTATGGCACCCATCATAGTATCTTTTCAGCCCCCTGGAAAGACAATCTTAAATAAGGAGCAAAATCAAAAGCTAAATGGAACGCTGGGTAGATTGAACAAGCCTAACCTTTAAAACTTCTGTATGAAAACATGACACAAAAAAATTAGATAAGCAATGGTCGAGAGCATAACATCTGGTAGGAAAGACTGACATTTTCTGTATGCCAAAACTCATCAAAATTGATGAAAATTATGGAGTCCATGCCCAATTTAATCAGCTAATCAGTGGCTGAATAAATAGCAGTACTCCTACATTAAAAAAAATTGATGAAACTTAATCCTAACAAATTAATGACATATTTACAGGGCCCGACAGATAGTACAGCAGGTAAAGCACTTGCTTTGTATGTGGCAAACTCAGTTCCAATCCTCAGTATCACATAGGGTCCTGAGTCTCCAGAGTTCAGAGCCAGGAGTAAGTCCCAGTGTGACAGGCAAAGCTCAAACCTCACCCATCCCTACAAAAAAAAGGTATATATTTAGAGGAGTGGGGCCATAATATAATGGGTAGTGCACATGTCTTGAACACAGCCAACCCAAGTTTGATTCCCAGCACTCCATATGGTCCCCCACACCTGCCAGGAGTGATCCGTGAGCACTGAGCCAGGAGTAAGAAAACCATATATATATGTTATATATATATATATATATAAATATATGGGCTGGAGCGATAGCACAGCGGTAGGGCGTTTGCCTTGCACGCAGCCAACATGGCCGACCCGAGTTCGATTCCTCCGCCCCTCTCGGAGAGCCCGGCAAGCTACCGAGAGTATCTCGCCTGCACGGCAGAGCCTGGCAAGCTCCCCGTGACGTATTCAATATGCCAAACACAGTAACAACAAGTCTCAAGATGGAGACGTTACTGGGCCCGCTCGAGAAAATCGATGAACAATGGGAGGACAGTGATATATATGTGTGTGTGTGTGTATATATGTATATATGTGTATATATACATATATGTGCGTATGTATTATACACATATGTGTGCATATGTATGTGTGTGCATATGTATGTGTATATATGTGTGTGTGTATATATCCGTATATGTGTATATATACATACATGTATATATAGATAGCACTGTAGCGCTGTCCTCCCATGTTCATCAATTTGCTCGAGTGGGCTCAGTAACGTCTCCATTGTGTTTGGCATATTGAATACATCACAGGTAGCTTGCCAGGCTCTTCCGTACGGGCGAGATACTCTTGGTAGCTTGCCAGGCTCTCCGAGATATATATATATATATATATGTATGTATATATACATATATATATAAAATTTCTAGAAATCAAGAATTCTGTAATTTTCAGATTACAGAAATAAATGCCAAAGATATCACTTTTGGGATTTCTTAGATGCACCACGTCCATGCTAACCAATGAATGAAAACGGTAATAAAGGCATAGATGCCACTTTGATCCACCAACTTACAAAAATGAACACTGGCAAAGTGTCAAATAGAAAAGTCAACAGTGCATTGCTCTGAGCTGACTCCGCTGGAGACTCCTGCCAGGAGCCTGTCTGTCCCCGGCCCAGACCTGACCCAGCACCCAGTTACTGCGCTTCTGCATTTCTCCAGATTCAGCACCACAGACCCTCCTGCCTGTGCAGTGTCTCCACGTGAGCATCTGCATTCCTTACATCAGCTCTTCTTGTCACTAGGGGATTTCCAAAATCAATGCTAAGAACTTTCCTGCCACAGAAGAAATTACCTAGTGTCTGGCTCTGAAACCCTGACATTATTAGAGTAGTCAGAGAACTGCTATTCTTCCAAAAGTCTCCGGGAGTCTCAGAATTCAGGTCACCATTTTCTTGCTTGTCAGATGGAACCTTTTCTTTGATGTTCTACACTCACTACCAAGTCAGAGATGGGCTCCAAGGATCTCGTCCGCTTCTCCCTACTCTTTCCTCACAGCACCCGCCCCTACATATCCCTATTAACCAGCGACCCAATACAGGAGCCAGAGGTCAAGCAGAGGTCTTCCCAAAGCCATACTCACTTTGTGTCCCGTACTTCCTGGGGTTCACACAGAGCACGAGGCATGAAGCACTAGAAAACATAAGATCTGACAGGCCCATCTACTCTAAATCTTCAACTTGTGGAGTGTGATGGTCATAAAGACAGAGTGCTTCCCTCCAGCACAGGAGTGGCCAGTCAGTACCCACAACTCAGAGTTCTCACAGGAAAGCCTGTAATGCTGCAGAAACAGGATTCATCTCGCACATCTTTTTCTTCCAACTAGCGCTTACCTTGCATTTGGGTAACTGAATCAATAAAACCATTGTCAAATATTTCTTACCGAAAAAAAATCCTCCATTCCATTTTCTATCTTGCCTCCTTTATGTTCCTTTTCTCAGCTCTGATTTCCCTTGTCTTCTCTCTTACAGTTTCACCTTTGCACATTCTATGACGCTGTTTCGATCATTTCCTTTCCAGTCATTTCTTCTGACACATCTCCCATTTCTTCTGACACCTGATCTGACTCTGAATCTTTGACCTTGGGGCCAAATCCCCCCGTACCTCACAATTCTCAACACCAACTGAGTGCCACACGCTCCTGTCCAGGCCATCCATTAGCTCATCTACTGCATGAACTGGGTAGGATCTGTGAAAGGATTTTCGATGGAAACTAGACTAGTGAGTGATCGGAAGAAACTGAAAGAAGCAGTCAAGTCAAGCTTCACTTATAGAAAAGACAAGGAAAGATGACTCTTCCAACAAAATTATTATGCATCGCAACCCTTTGTCAGCCTTGGGGACAAAGCTGTCGTCCAAGCAGTCCTTCCACTGGATGACAGCTAAGCCATCGTGGCCAATACCCATGACCTGCTTATGTGTGGAGCAGCCAGTTCAGGGCATGGATCTAACCCCATGAGAATGGCCCATGCATCAGAAAGAGTAACCATCACAGCAGCCTGACAAGGGAGAGTTCTAACAGGTGACGATGCATAAATTACCAGGAGTTCAGGAATCAAACAGTGAAGCTTTTGACTGGTTACTAGCAGAGGTGGTGCCCAACTAGAGACGTAGGGGCATGAACACTTCGAGCACTAATTGTGAAAGAGGTAAAGAATTCTCTCCTGCAAACTGGAAAGAGGTCAGAACGAAAGAGTGAACCACCTGTGTTCACCACAGTGCCGACAACGAGGTAAGTCATAAACTGGCACTTGCTCTCCCGTGTAATTGAGTAACTGCTCTTTCTGGAACAAATTCCTCAGGGTCACATTCTGTGTAAATACAGTCGTGTCTGCCCAGTGAGCCCAGTAAGGGATAAACACAGCCTGAGGAGGGGAATTCCGTGATTTTTTTAATTTTGGTTTCTGTTTGTTAGCTTGCTTGCTTCTACTTCAATGAGGTAAGAAATGATCAAAATGGACTCACCTGGACATGAAATCCCTTGACCATCAATAATTTGCTTGCAAATCCCACAAACTTTGGATTTTTTAGAAGTCTTATTCTTAAAGCTGTGCACACTTGAAGTAAATTCTTCTGACTGAAAAACATAAAATAAAAAAAATCATTAGCACTTTAATTCAGTAGTTGTTTCTTCCTTTTCTCTTTCAAGAGATAAGAAACCTAGCAGAGTTGTGAAGACCTACAATAGGAAGTAGGTCACACAAACCTAGGAGAAGCCAGGAGCACTGGGACTGCAGAAGAGTCCAGGGCACCCTTTTGGTGTTCTCCATGCCACAGCCTACACAGGAGCTGAGACTGGCCCAGGGTCACATGGCCAGGGTGGCAGCAGCAGGAGCCTCACAGGATGATGGATTCATTCCAGATTGGAAACCAATAGGCACCACTTCTGTCTATGACCAAAGTACCCCCACCACTCCCAGGAGTCTAGTGCTTTTCCTCTGAACGAAATGACTAAGTGAACAGAATTACTGTAATTCTGATGCTCCTGGCTCCTCAGTCCCCTGAGCCATGAGTACTCTGAACAGAGGGGTAGTTCACTGTAGACCCCAGGATAAGATGTATGGTCCTTAAGTCTGGAATAGCATCAAATTATACACATTAGGCCAGAGCGATAGCACAGCGGTAGGGCGTTTGCCTTGCACGCAGCCAACATGGCCAACCCGAGTTCGATTCCTCCGCCCCTCTCGGAGACCCCGGCAAGCTACCGAGAGTATCTCGCCCGCACGACAGAGCCTGGCAAGCTCCCCGTGACGTATTCGATATGCCAAACACAGTAACAACAAAGTCTCCAATGGAGACGTTACTGGGCCCGCTCAAGCAAATCGATGATCAACGGGAGGGCCTTTACGTTCCTATACACATTATAACTCGGAAATGAGCCATTCATCTACCCGACTAATGTTTGTAGAGTTAAGACTCAATCATATGTGACAATCTTGTAAAATTTCAGATTGCCTTAGAAAGGAAATAAATATCCCATCAATATACCTATTTGCAAATATGTGACAGTGAATAACAGATTTCTATAACATACCCATATAGATTCAGTGAGCCCATAACATACCAACAAAAGAGTTAAATTCAGAAGGTGAAATGTTACCAAGAATGTGAAACAAATGGTAAAACTGTCACTGTATCATTGTCATCCCATCATAGATTGAGCAGGCACCAGTAATGTCTCCATTCATCCCAGCCCTGAGATTTTAGCAGCCTCTCCTTACTCTTCCTTCCCAACGGTGTTGTATTGAACGCTCTTTCAGAGTTATAGAAATGAGACCCATTATTGTCACTGTTTTTGGCATATCAAATATGCCATGGGGAGCTTGCCAGGCTCTACCAGGAAATGGTAAAACTACACTGAAAAATGGTTTGACAATTTCTTACATTTTGTCTATGACCAAACATATATATGAAATACATGCATACACATGCACATAAAATCAGCATTTACATCCCTAAAGATAAAGTCCACGAAGGACTTGTATAACGATAGTCACAACCACCTCATGCAGAGCATTCCAAACAGGAAAGAACCCTCCATCAGAAGACCGAGTGACCGACCCATGGCATTCATACAATGGAATACTGTTAAGGGGTACAGAGAGCGAGCTACTGGTAATGATAAGGGTGAACATCAAACGCATCGTCACGCTGAGCGAAGAAGTCAGACTCCAGAGCACACAGTGAATGATTTCCTTCACAGCACAGGGCTGAGTGAGCTGACAGCTCTGTGTTTCAGGGTAAATAAGAGTTACCTCTCGAGACTAACTGGCTGGCTGAAAGGGCATGAGAAAACTTTCTGGGATGAAGGCAATTTGCTGAATGGAGTTACCCAGGAGGTATACCTATTTAAAATCATTAATCTGTGTGCTTCATATTTTACATTTTTCTGTCCGAAGGCCTATATTAAAGACAAGACATATCTAGTAATAATGAAATAACCATGGAAAGATATTGGTAATATAGCACTTAAAATAAATAAAACAATGTTAAACTATGGAATAGACTTTTATCTTTAGGAACTTCCACTTCTGAACAAGATGGAGGGAAAAGAATTATCTTCATATCTGAAATCTAAAAAACACATAAAATGTATGAAACATTTTTTAAAACATTATATATTAAAAATGAAGAATAATGATATCAAAGCAGCGGGGGGAGGGGGATAAGAATACCTCTATGATTCCTTACTTCTAATTTTTTCCATATTCCTTATTTTTTCTAAAAACCTCAAAGAGAAAGAGAATAAGACTTCTTCAGCTAGATAAACATCCATGTAAATTTTACAGCAAAATCTTACATGCTTAATAAAACTAACTACTTTCTTGTTAACTTCAGCAACAGGACAAGGATATATCTAAAACAACATTTCTGCTTAACATTGTCATTTTAATAAGAAAATAGCATAAAAAGCATCCAATTGGGAAAGGAGGAAGTAAAACTGACTTGTTAGTAATGACATGATTTTCTATGTGGAGAAGTGTAATATAAATAGTTTACATACATCTATTTTATATGCAAAAGATAAAATAGAAGAACGATATCAAAAATACAATCCCATCCACAACTTGGCCTCCGAACATCAAGTACCTAGGAATCTTCTTAACTAAAGAGGTGAAACTGCTCGTGGGGAGGTCGAATGGTCCAGCCTCTTTGGGAAACAATATGGACCATCCTCAAAAAAATAGCAATTGAGATTCCATATGACCCAGCAATTTCGCTCCTTGGAATATATCTCGAGGGCACAAAAACACAATGCAGGAAAGACATCTGCGCTACTATGATCATGCAGCACTATTCACAATAGCCATATTCTGGAAATAACCCAAGCGCCCCAGAACAGATGACTGGGTTAAGAAGCTGTAATACATATGCACAATGGAATCCTACAGTTACTAGAAAAGATGAAATCGTGAAATCTGCTCCTATGTGGATGGGCCTGAAGAGTATCATGCTAAGTGAAATGAGTCAGAGGAAGGGCACAGAATGATCTAACTTATTTGCAAGAAATAAAGAAACACAATAGGAGATTAATGTTCAAAGACAATAGAAATGAAGGGCTAGAGAATTGGTCGTTAGTAAGAAACATGCCATAGCGGGGTAAGGGGCTTAGGATAGGACCACTGTGACAATGATAGGGGAAAGTGGTCACTCTTGTCAAGAACGGGTACCAAACGAAGGCATGCATGATTCCCTTTCAGCAAAACACAAAACCTAAAAGGAAAAAGTGCCTGCCATAGAGGCAGACTCTGAAGGCGGAAGCAAACTGGAGACATGGAAGTAGACACGGGGAAGGAAATCATGCTTGAACACTGTATGCCTGAAATTCAATCATAAATAACTTTAATTTTGTTTAGTTTGGTTTTGGGGCCACACCCAGTGATAACTCAGGGGTAACTCCTGGCTCTGCACTCAGGAATTACTCCTAGGGGTGCTTTGGGGACCATAAGGGATGACAAGGATAGAACCTGGGTGGGCCAACTGCAAGGCAAATGCCCTCTCTGCTGTACTATCAACCCAACATAATGAATAACTTTGTAATTCACACTGACCCAATAAATTTCAAAAGACTATTTTGAATGCACCTAGAATAAATAAGCTTTGCGAAGTGGGCACAAGATCAATATGAAAACTTCATTTTTACATAAGCATTTACAAGTTAAAATCCTATAGGATTGCCATTTACAATAGCACACAAAATGCTATGTTAAAAAAAAAATCTAGCAAGACCTAAAAACATTGTGTGAAGAGATTAAGAACTAATAGAGAGAGAGATCATGTCCATGTATTGGTAGATTTAATATAATTAAGATGCAATTCTTCCCTATACAATCTCAACAATATCTTTTTTTAATTTGCGGGCTTTTTTTAATTTGCAAAATTTAGATATTTAGGATTACCAAAACAACTGGCAATGTCTGCATATGCTTAACTGTGAAATTTAATACTTGTTCATTATATACGCCTTTAGTGTAAAGACACCAAACTAGTTGCAACCAGATCCTTTTAACAAGCACAGGGTTTTGAAAATACACATTAAGCTCTAATTTTCAACAAAGCAAATTTTTCCCTGAGATCTATCAAAGACAGCATATATGTACGCTCCTTATTCCCTCACCTACAATAGCTATAAAGAATCAGTCATGGCTTTCATCCCCAGGCAGCCTTTACAAGTCTCTCCAGAAGGAACTACTGATAGGCAGGAATTAGCAGACCTGATTCTGAAAAAGAACCTGTTATGACATTCCCACTTTGAAAGCTTTACACAAACTAATCGTTCTGGGATGCTAGCAACTTGTAGTTTTCTATTAAAATGATCATGTCCTTCCTGCCCATTTCAAGTGCCTCAGCAGACCTACAATTGTCTTGTCTCTTAGTCACATGTCTCCTGTCAATCAGATGAAGAAAGCATTCTGCAGTGGATCAAAGCCCACCAACCTGAAGGAGCTCTGTATGTGCTATTGAGAAAATCAGTCACTCTCCAAAGAAATTTAAAACAATAAAACAAAAACTTTACCCCTCCAGCCTATTAAAGGAGCTATTACATGGAACAGGAGAGAACCCACAGTGGGTAAGGTGGGTCCAGTGGGTAAGGTTGCCTTTCTTGCAGCCAACCTGGGTTCAATCCCCAGCATATGGGAGTAGGGTCCCTCAAGCATTGCCTGGAATGATTCCTGAGTGCAGGGGCAAGCCCTGAGTAGTGCCAGCTGTCGCCCCAAAACAAAGCAAACCAAAAAAGGAGCTATTATAAATCAACCAATGTTCTACCACATACCAGCTGCAAACACTGGTAATCTATGAGAATCATTTGAGCAGAATTTTTAAAACAGTTCTATCCAAAACGTATTGAATCAGATTATCTGGAGGTGGAGCCAGACATTTTTTTCTCAAAGTACCCCCAATGACTTGAATATGCAGCTGGGCCACCACTACATAATAAATGATTTTATATGCATGAAAGGCACTGTTGTTATATGCTTTATTCATTCATTCGTGTTTGGTATTTTGCAGAGCAACTGCACGTATTTTGATAGTGGGGATTCTATATT